GGAGGCAGAGGCAGGTGGATCTCTGTGAGTTCGAGGCCAGCCTGGTCTACAGAGTGAGTTCCAGGACAGCCAGGGCTACACAGAGAAACCCTATCTCAAAACAAACAAACAAAACAAAAAGGAAGGAAAAGAAACTCACAGTCAAAGGCAGAAACAGAGGCATCTACACATCCCACTCAGTGCATCGCTCCACAGAGGTACAGGGGGTGGGCACAAGCGGTGTGCCTGACTGTGAGTCAGGAAGTCCACTGAGAAGACATTGAGTGGCAGGAGAAAGTGAGCCAGAACGATGCCAGCTTATGAGCAGCATCTCAAAATTTGTCGAGTGATTGAGTCTGTGGAGTTGGATAAATAGGATGTTTTATTCAATCTCTAGAGGTGTAATTAACCTTCTGAAGCCTTACCCAAGAAAATCAGCTACTGCTTAAGGATTCATAGAAGGGCCTTTGAAGTGACGGTGAGGAAGCCGTGGCCTCTCTGTGATTGCCTCTTTCCTCCTGTAGGTCCTCACTAAGGATTCAGTGACAATCAGTGTGGATGGCGTGGTCTATTACCGTGTTCAGAATGCCACCCTGGCCGTGGCAAATATCACCAATGCAGATTCGGCAACCCGTCTTTTGGCACAAACCACACTGAGGAATGCCCTGGGGACCAAGAACCTGTCTCAGATCCTGTCTGACAGGGAGGAGATCGCACACCACATGCAGGTGAGGAAGCCCAGAGGGAGAGCAGAGCCGAGTCCATGGTCGTGGAGGGCATTGATTCACCCAGATGGAGGGGCGGGGATGCGGGGGTAGCGGTGGCCCTTTTTTTTAGGCTTCCAGATATTATAGAAATGTTTTCAGACCAACACCCATGGGTTCATGGCACTCAGGTGCAAGCTGTTTTTAAATCCCTTCTAGTGTTTTATTTTTCCCGGAATCTGTATTATCCTCATTGTAGATCATAATGGTTTGGAGGTTATTCTGCAAGAATACCACTAAAGCTTGAGCCTGTGGACAAGTCCATGAACCCGTGTGTAACTGTCATGCTTTCCAGTCTTGACTGCGAGGCAGATGTCACTAACAGTAAGACTGGCTTATTCCAAAGTTACAGTACTAGAAATATGAATTCCTGCCATTATAGAGGTTTCCCCATGGCTAAGTCTGTGACTTCTTTGTTTTGAAAAGACTGTCTCTACAGCCCAGAGCCCTGTAACCTGCTCTGTAGCCCAGGCTGACCTTGTGGTTCTGCTTCAGCATTGCCGCCCCCTCCTCTGCTAAGAGTATGTGATCTGTGTGACATCGTCAGAGCCTCATGAAATAGAGAGTGTGGTTCAGTAGGGTTCACATGGTGTCCCATGGACTTGGATAGGCAAACTACTGATGAAGCAAGCTGTGCCCTTAGGCTGACTGCTGTATTTGTAGTGACGTCTCCCTGGAATACAGCTGCAGCTGTTCCCTTGTGTATTACCCATGCTGCTCTTGACCCACGAGAGCAAGGCAGAATGTTGGAATAGTTGCAGTGGAGACTGCAGATAAACAGCTCCTCGATGCCCTTAGAAGTGTGCCAACACCACGTTAGCTCATCTGTGACGGAACCAGAGCAGCCCCTGTGCTCTGCAGCCCCTGCTTCAGCCCCGGATGCTCTTTCTCTGCCACCGTCACCAAGCCTCATCGACGATGACGACGATGACGACGCCAACGCCAACGACGATGACGCCACATCCCAGCTCTCAGCATCTGGACAGGAGCACTGGTGCCTCACTGCTGTCTGTTCTCCTTCCAGAGCACGCTGGATGATGCCACAGATGACTGGGGAATAAAGGTAGAACGTGTGGAGATTAAGGATGTGAAACTCCCCATCCAGCTCCAGAGAGCCATGGCTGCAGAGGCAGAAGCCGCCCGGGAGGCAAGAGCCAAGGTAATGTTTCCATTGGTTTAGGTTCTGTTTTGTCTTGTTTTAGTGTGATTTCCTTTTTAAATTCCACAGTAATAAAACACTCTCACTGAAAAAGAGTGAGCAGCCCTGAATGTTTAGTATACAAGCGCCTCCATCATTTCAAATCCTATTTTTACTCAGAGGCTGCTACTATAAGTGTGTGTGTGTGTGTGTGTGTGTGTGTGTGTGTGTGTGTGTGTGTGTGTGTGTTTGTGCGTGCGCACGCACACATTTTTGAGACGAGATTATCTAGCCAGCAAGGCCTCAGGACCCACCTGTCTCCCCTCCTCCAGTACTGAGGTTACAGATGTGTGCCACCACACCTTGCTTTTGCATGAGCTCTGGGGAATCCAAACTCCGGTCCTTATGACTATACAGAAAGCACTTTATCTGGTGAGCCGTCTCCCTAATCCTATACTTGCATTTTATTGAACTAGGTTGTTGGGTCATCGGCACAAGTGGACCCACACAGCACATGGTCTCTTGGGACTACTGATCTATTAGAGTTGCATCCTCCTCTCATGATTGTGAGCCACATGCTCTATTTCCTCGGTTCATTATTAAAGGCAGATTGACGTTCAGAACACAGGACAGTTGCCTCAGCTTGCTGCTGCCCATCCCTCACTTGTTCCTGTCGTTTTCTCTCCCTCCCTTTTCCAGGGTCTTTTCTTCATGCTGCTTCTTCTTTTTCCTGTTCCCACAATTTTCTTCTCTTTCTGTGATTTCCCTTTCTTTTTGTCCTCGCCTTGCCTTTGTGGATTCTCCAAGTGTTTCAGGATTTCTCCTAAATAAGTTATCTCCTAGATACAATTCTCTGAATGCAGTGTGTGAGGGGGTCACGTACATGTGTGTGGATGGTTAGTACTCGTTAATAGAACTAAGAAACTTTATTTAAATAAGTGGAAGTGTAGCTTTTGTTTGTTGTCATGCACACTAAGGAACTTTATTTAAATGAGTAGGTGGAGCTTTTGTTTGTTGTCATGCTCTTCCTAGCATGCACACAAGTTAGTGTGCTAAAACTCATACAAGCTCTGTCAGTTCTTGGTTCAGTAAAGTCTTTCCTTTCTTTGATTCAAAGAACTGGAACTCCACCTGACTTGCAAAGGGTTTGTATCCACGTGAAGTCAGTCGCTCACCCTTTTGCAGTGCTGTGGGCTGGTCAATACCCTGGTCAATACGACTGTGATACCCTTTTCAGTGGGAGACAGGCAGCAGTGAGAGGATGCCTTGAGCCAGACACATCCCTAAGCAATTCGGTTTCAGGAGAAAGAATATCTGAAAACAGTGTGGAGGAGTTGACGGATTCCTGGGGAGTCCTGTACGCTGCCTAAGGCATATGAACCCTTACTTGAAGACTGCTGGGTGGCCCCATGCTATTTGCCAACTGACCTCGTCTTTCCACTCCGTAGGTGATTGCAGCTGAGGGGGAAATGAATGCGTCCAGAGCTCTGAAGGAAGCTTCCATAGTTATCACCGAGTCTCCCGCCGCCCTTCAGCTCCGGTATCTTCAAACGCTGACCACTATCGCTGCTGAGAAAAACTCCACTATTGTCTTCCCTCTGCCCATCGATATGTTGCAGGGCATCCTGAGTGCTAAACACTGAGCTGGACAGGTCTGTGTAGAGCTGGGCTGACCCTCCCCAGGGCAGAGTGGGGACCAACTTAGCCTTTCACTTCAGGGAGAGTAGCAGGAAGCTTGACTGTCCCGTCCCTCCTCCCCGTCTGTATGTAGAGTGAGGACCTCTTAGAAAGGACAGGAGTCCTAAGAGCAGCTGAGAGACTCACCTAGGAGCCAGGAGTGTGGCTCAGTAGTAGAGAACTTGCTTAGCATGCCCAAGGCTCTGGGTTTCATCCTCAGCACCAAAACAAAACAAAATCACTGGCTTGTAAATATTGAGAGAGAGATGGGTGATTTATGTACAATGACCTTACTCCTTATCTGAGTCTTTTCTTCATTCTGTGGTAGGCTGACGCCCTCTTCTAACTTCCTTTAAGTCGTTCCCAGCCCTGTGTGAGCAGTCAAGCCAGGGCAAGGGACACAGCCTAGACATGCTGCCCGACCCCACTGGGTAATGCTCTGCACAGCGAAGACTTGTGTCACCCCCTCTGGGCTACCCGTGCCTTCCCTTCAGGGAATCTTAAAGGAAGGACATTTCCCCAGTGTTCATCCACCCAATCTAAGCCCAAACTGTGTTCTAGAATAATCCTCTCCTCCATGAGCCTGTCAGAGAAAACGGTCAGAGTCAATGGAAAGGCCCCGCTGGTCCTCCCGGGACCGTTCTTCCCCACTGTGGCGGTCTTTCTGAAAAAGGACCTTTTTAAAAAAGTCGTGGTCCTCACGACTTGATGATCCCTTTCTGTGTTGCCGTTAAAAGCAGCTACAGTCTTGTCACAGAAGTGCTTTTTTCTCACTTTTGCCTATTTCAATGTATCAGGTTTTTTAATCACTTTGATTTTTAAAAATAACTTTCTAAGTTCTATAAATAATTGCTGTGTGCCCATTTGAATAGATTAAGTACCGAAGTACTTTTTAAAAATTCTTAAGAAAACCATATACTGTGAAATATTGTGATTACTAATCCTATTTAAGTAGTTTAAGGAATTGCTGACACATGGAGTGTGTGGTTCCTGATCTCGCAGACACCCATGCTGAGCTCTCAGTGCGGAGGGAGAGTGCTTATGTTTGACTAGTTTTTTGTTTTGTTTTGTTTTGTTTTCATACAAAACGTTGATTCCAATAGAGGAGTAGTTGGTCCCTCTGGACCACAGTTTCTTATTGTGATATCCCTCCCTTGGCCTGGAAAGCTTGGTGGTGACTTTTGCGAAATCTTTGAGGCTTTTGATTCACCTGGAGAAGCCGGAAAGAACGTTCCCTGTGTCGAGAGCAGCAGGGTTCACATCCATTAGCTGTGCAGCCAGGCCCACGTGGAGCCTGCCCTCCCTCACACCGTTTCTAAGCCTTGAGCCCAGCTGGGTTTCTAGAGGTGTCTAGAGCATTCCTGCCCAGGACTCAAGTTGCATTTACATTTTGAATTTAAAGTGATGGGTTCATCTGTTTGGAGGCGACTCGCCTTCCACTGAGGACCCGGAAACCCATGTCCTGGTGGAAACACCTTCTCAGAGCTGGAAAATGGTACACTTGTCCTCTAATTTCTCTCTCCAGACACCAGCTGGCCTTTGCTTCTGTGCCTTGTGAATTAGCAATCCAGTAGGCTGTAGTCAGGTGGGGGGGAGGAAATCGAGCTAGGGAAGGGGTGTTGGTGTGCGGTTTTGACGAGTCCACCCTCAGCCATGGCAAATAAAGTGTGTGCCCTGTGACCAGTGAGTCTTGTGTCCCTCTGCAGCGCTGCTTTGAAGACGTCCGCTGGACTTTGCATTCATGATTGAGGGGCCTTCGATCTGATCTTCAGTTTTAGGTTCTCAAACGGTATTGATTCAGGCAGAGGGGAGTTGGTTGACTGTCTGTAAGAACATGTTTACAACACGGCCCCGAAGAGAAAAAAGAAAACACAGGACACAGGGTTTATTGTGCTTTCAAGTACATTTTTCTTGTGAGTCCCCACACAGTCTTCCCACCCGTGGCTACCACCATGTGAGCCCCACACTGTCTTCTCATGCCTAGTCACCTACCAATGCTTTTCAGATTTCCTTTATTTCCAATTTCTTCCAATTTCAAACCTTTATTTCCAAGGGAGTGATCCCCTGTTGAGAGATTTAAAGTGTCTCTTCCCGGAGTGTCCACATGTATAGCACTCAGTGCTTCAGTGAGCACAGAAAGTAGTGTTAACTTGAACTTGGGCTCTCCACTCAGCGATGCTTCTTAGCACTGGATTTTCTTACCACTTAAATGGAGTTTGAATCCAGTTTGTAAGATCACAGAAGTGCCTCATAGAATTCTGCAGATCCCAGTTGGAAAATGGTGCCCCTGAGGGTTTCTCGCCCTGCCCACTCCGGTCTGTACCCCAACCTTGCGTGGTTCCTGTCTGCTGTGCTGAGGGTGTGTTAAAAGCTGCAGAGCATCTCTGACACCCGCACACCGGGGGAGGGGGGGAGGGGGGGCCACACGAATTTGTACACTCACGGAGAGGAACACTGCTCCATCAACCAGCCTTCAAGACATCAGGGCTCCCAGACAACTCTATCCCTATATCCTAACTCTACACATGGTACTCAGCTCCCTAGAACAGCTTTGTGCAACTCTGGACTGCACTCGGGAAACAGTCATTTATCCAGGGTCAAGCACTGGGCATAGCAGCTGCCATCTTTCACCTCCCGTCATAATCCTACCTGGTGTGTGGACCAGGCCAAGGGGAATCTCTGGATTCGTTTGGGCTGTTCGTCTCTTACAATGATGCCCATGACAGGCATAGAGCAGACCCAGGCCTGGATGAGGTTAATTTGTCTAAAGGAGAGACTAAAAGGACAGCCTGCCCTGTAACCAGAAGGTTCTGTGAGAGGAAGTTGAAAGCTGTTGTTAAATACGGAGCTTCTAGGAATCTAGGACTTAGCACTCATAACAAAGCTGAGGGTCTTCCCTCAACGATTCTGGAGGAGGGACGGCAAGATGGCTCAGTGAGTAAAGCACCTGCCTCCGAGCCTGACCACCTGAGTTCGAGTCCCAGGACACACACGGCGAAAAAGAACCAGCTCCCACAGGCTGTCTCCTAATCTCCACAGGTCTGCTGTGACATGCACATGCACCCACACATACAAAACAAAATATCCTATTTTTTAAAGATTCTGGGGTGAGGGACTAGAGAGATGACTCTTGCAGAGGAACCCAGGCTCCCTTCCAGTACCTGAGTGGTCATCTCACCAGATGTAACTCACTCATCAGTTTATAAGCAGCTGCAAGTCTTTAGTCTGGCCGTCTGGGACAGGTATCTGGGGACCCGGGTGTAGCCCTTAGTGTCTGGAGCATGGGGCTTCTGAAGGTCTGCATCCCACTCAGCTTCAGGGGGCAGGCTTTACAGAAACACGCAATTGGACAGAAGTTGTAACAGTTAGCTGGAGGAGGTTCTGGACAAGCCGGCAGCTGAGCGGATACTAAGATAAGTTAGCTAGGACATCCTGACCTTGGGTTCCTAGACTAGAGCTGGGTAATTTTCCATGGGATTCCCCATCAAGGAGATCAAATTCTAGTTAGAGCTGAAATGGCCTCAGCAAGATTATAAGATGGAGGAACCTCTGCACTGTCCTGCCTGTCACGACAGGCAGCTCAGCCAGCAGCAACTCAGTTCTCGGCTTCCTCAGGTGCCAGGCACACACGTGGTGCACATATGTACATGCAGGCAAAGGCTCATAAAAATACAAGTAAATCAATTCTCAAGGTTTTTCTGGGGGAGGGAGAGACGGGTTGGAAATTGAACCCTCTGAGAATGGCTATACACCACAATGCAGTAGGCATCTACTGCTAAGGTTTTTATTTTTAGCATCTGACCCTAAAAATGTCAACAAAATAGCCATCTACTGTGTCCACTTGCCTCCTGCCTGCCTCACCAAGAATGTTCACTCAGGAGAGGAGAAATTCACCCAGCAGCCAGCTGGACCTCACTGCCCTCTGAGCTCGATAGGAATGGGCATGAGGATTCCTGAGTACTGAAGAAAGACTTGCTGTGGACTTGGAAGCATTTCATCCTCTCTCTCCAAGGAAAACATTTACAAACAACAAATTTGTCTCTCCCTCAGCTTGCTGACGCATAGTTGAGAGCCAAAATGCCTGCAGACATTTCACTACCACACTGATACTCAAAGCCAACAGATGGTGGGAAACCTAGACCCAAAGTGGCTTGAGTCAGATACCGAAGCCCCTAGACTGGACTCCCCTGGAGGAATTTGGTTTGGGCTGGTTCTCCAACACATCCAATTTAATCAAGCACAGGGCAGGCTTACTCCCACAATGCTCTAGGATCTGTACATGTAATTTCCCATCACTTAGCAGGAATCCTACATTGGGTTAAGTCAGACCCACTGATTTCCAGGAAGTAAGCTGGCTTTGTCTACAGCAACCGCTACCTCCCTGTAGGAAAGCCCTACTGTGTGACACTGACCCCAAGGAGGTGTGAACAAGTATCCACTCTCCCAGATAGTGAGCCAGCTCTGCAGGAGACCACTAATGGGTCTACTGGGGTCACTTACAGGAGCAGAAATGACTCAGAGACAGCCGCATCACCGAAGCCACCCCAACATGGTGACAGCGCAGAAGCTGGGGACCTGGAGCTCACAGAGCTGAGGGCTCAGCAGATGGGAGGGTTGTCTCTTCCAGGCTTGAGCATCTCTGGGGCAGTCTGGCTTCTCTGAGCATGTCTCCCAGCAGTCCTTAGCAGCTTATGTAAACTAGGGGAGGGAGAGCCCTAATGGATCTGATCAGCTTCAGGGACTTCCTGAAGCTTTTGTGTTGTTTACTTCTGGTACCTAATGGCTGGAGTTTCGTGGTTCCCTCCAAGATGAACTGTTTTATCTCTGGGAGAAAACAGCTTATGGGCCCTATTCTGCTAAGCATTTTTAGGGTGTTATACTTGCCAGGTCAATTGCTTTGACTACAAAGAGCCAACCTTTGGAAATAGGCAAGGCAGACATAGAATGAAGTCCAAGCCCCTTGGCAGTGTTCAAGGCTCCTACCCACTGCTCACTCCCAAGCTGCTCCGGCCACATCTGCCCCCGAGTGAAGAACCACTTTCCCCACAGCACCCCACCTTTGTTTCTGCTACACCTCTGCTTGTAATGATCTGCTTCCACCCCCAACCCAATTCCTCTCCACTTGGAAAACTCCTCCTCTGTTGACCTCATCACTCCGGCAATGACTCAGAATCTCTGGAGACAGGGCCCCAAGGGAACCATGCTTCTAAAACATTCCCTGGACACAACAATGTAAACGCACACAACTCTCAGGCTTCCTACTATCCAAACCTCACCCTGGGCTCTGTTCTATAGTCCACATACAGAAGCTCCATCCTATAACATGGAGTGGCATAGACCAAGAGGAGGAAAGGTGGCCAGAAGAATCCAGAAGGAAAGGGGAGGAACAGGCTCTGTCCTTGAGTTCCTTGTACTGGTCTGGCACCTCCAGGGAGAAAAGCTTTTGAAGCAGTTTATGGGAGTACCCAAGAGGGAGTTTTGATGTTCTGAATACCAGCAAAGATTCAGGCCTAGAGGGACCATATTTGGACACCAAGGAGTACATCTCCTGTGTTCCAAAGGCAGATCCAGGAGCCTCTCTAGGTACGGCAGTTGCCAAGGTAGAGATCTCACCAAAGAGTCTTTTGAGTAATAGAATGAACAGAAGGGACCAGCTGTAGAAAGTGGGTACAAGCAGATACCACAGGAGGTGTCTCTATGGCAACACACCTTGTCTACTTCCTACTCCAGGGAGTGTAGTTGGCTTTGAACTCCATCAAGGCCAAGCCTCTTAATGACAGTGCACAGAATAGGAGAGGTAAGACTCATGCTCATAAGGAGATATATAACTCATTTGAGAGCTGGCTCAAAACATGCAAAGAATATATATTTTTGTCCTGCATTCACAACAGTATTGTACACAATAGTCAAAAGGTAGAAATAATCCCACCATCCACGGTGGATGAATGGATAAATAAGATGAGATATGTACATACAATAGAATAGTATTTACCCATCAATGTAGATCAAGGGTTGCTTTTGGAAGCAATTCTAAGTCAAATATGCCAGACACAGACAATAAATATTGCATGACTCTTCTTAGGGGAGGTATGTAGAATAGGCAAATTTATCAAGGGTAAAGGAAGAATAAAGATCCTAGGGTGATGGAGAGGGGGGGGCTTATTATTTAATAATAAACACTTAAAAGCAAGGGCTAGTAGCCCACACCTTTAGTCCTATCACTCAAGAGGCAGAGGCAGGTGGATCTCTGTGAGTTCAAGGCCCAGCCTGGTCTACAGAGTGAGTCCCAGGACAGCCATGGCTACCCAAAGAAACTCTTTCTAGAAAAAAAATTTATTATTATTATTATTATTATTATTATTATATTAAGCACTTAGATTGAGGGCTATAAAATGTTTGGATTGGACTGGAGAGATGGTTCAGCTGCTGAGAGCACTGGCTGCTCTTCAAGAGGACCCAGGTTAGATTCCCAGCACCCACATGGCAGCTCACACCTCCAGTTCCAGAAGTTAGTATTCCTTTTCCTCACCTGCTTGGGCACTGCACACACATGGTGCACATATATACATACAGGCAAAACACTCATACACATAAAATTAAAAATCTTTTTAAAAATGTTTTTCTAAGTTTGGGTACAGGTAGTGGCTATAGCTTACATCACATTATATATCTATGTAATA